CCACACAACCCTCCATTAGACCACGGCCTCTGTTGTGGTGGCGGTGGATACCTGGCTCAGGCCCCTCCTGCCGGAGCGCACCACCACCCATACTCTCCCCCACCTCGATGCCTTTATCAGCGGTGCCGCCAAACAAACCCCCAATCTTGCAACGGCAGTTGCGGATATCCAGAGGAGCATCGATGAAGCGCCACCAGAGTTTCCGGCGATGGACTGGCCTGCCTTTCGGGCGACCACCACCCAGGCTCTCGGCGCGCTCGACCAGGCACTGGCAGCGCCTGAAGCGTTGAACAACCGCTTGAAGCAATTGGACCCCAACACTGACAACCTAGAATCAGTGCTGCAAGAGCTGCACGGTGTCACTGCTGGTTTTGAGCTGCATCCGGTGCTTCTCGAGCTTCAGACCGTGCTGGCAGCGTGCCCCGCTCCACCCACCGCGCTGACCATGGCACCCGAAACGCTGCCTGCCAACCTCGGTGCAGCCCTGGACAAAGTCGCCATGCTACACGACGTGGGAGCCAAGCGTCAAGAGCTGCTCACCAGCGCCAACAGCAACCTCCAGCAGCTGGCGAAGGCGCTGATTACTGCCTTGCGTGCTGTGGCAAGAGTGGGAATCACTGACACGGACCATCGCATGAACACACTAGAGCAGTGTGTGGAAGGCTTGGATGTGAGTGCACCGCCTCCAGCCGAGGCATTGCCCGAGGCCTGGGAGGAGCTGTGCCAAGCCCACGAAAAGCTGAGCTTGCCCGAGCAGAACGGCCTGGAGCAGCTGATAACCTGGAGAGTCGAGCACGACTATGAGCATCAAGACTGGTATCTGGCGTTTGCGCTTCACGAGTCGCAAGCTCTGATGCAGCAGTTGCAAGACATGATCGACTGGCAAGCCACGACGCTGTCCGTGCTGACTTCGTGCGAAGAGTATGCAAGCGGCATCACGCAGAGCAGCGCAGATCAAGTCGTATCCATCCACGAAGAAGTGGCCGAGCTGCAGAAGAACATCCAGACAACCACGGCATTCTTGCCTTTGGCTTCAGATGAGATGCAGGCTGAACTCGAGGCTCGATTGCAAACTATGAAGGAGCGTCTGGTCACTTTGCAGCAACAACTATCGGATCAAACACAGGTGGACCAGGTGGCGGCACTGGCAGAGCTGCTACACCAACACTTCCCAGCCCTCTTGATCTTTTTGCACCCTGAACAGAGCGCGCTGGGAGCGCGGCTCCGCACAGTGCTTGGACCCGACCTTCCAGCCAGCCTCATCTTGGAGGCCATGACCGAAGTGGATCGCACATTGTCGCTCTCCAGCCTGGGTCAGCTTGAGCTCCATTACAACCAAAACCACAAGGTGTACAAAGCTCGTGCAGCGCTGCCGAATCTTCCTGAGCAAGATTTGGCCGTCAAGGAGTATGCTTTTGCTCGGCAACACAAGCAGGACCAGTGCCGTACATTCCTGCGCGAACTGCGCGCCATGCGCCAGCTCGAGCACCCACACATCATCCCGGTCCTTGGCGCGCTCGTGGACGTACACAGTGGCCACCCCAGCGCCTACTTGGTGCAGCCGTGGTGTACACAGGGGGATCTGCAGCAGTGGCTCGGCAAGGCGCGCCACCTGGCCACCTCAACCGTGATAGCAGGACTCATGACGCAGCTGCGCTCGGCCCTGGCGTTTATGCACAGCAAGGGCCTGGTGCATCGGGATGTCAAGCTGAGCAACATCATGTTGGACGGTGCAGAGGACCAGCCTGTAGTGCGGCTGGGCGATTTTGACATTGCCAAGGCCGCCGCTGAAGCCACCATGCTACCATGCACGGCCACCGCATCGTCGGGCACGGCGGGCTATGTGGCACCGGAGGTGCTATTTGGAATGGGTCGTGTGGGTGCACGACCGGCACAGGATGCCTTTTCCTTTGGCTGTGTAGTCTACAACACCTACATGTATCCACAAACGGTGCCGCCTGCTCGTTTACCCACGGATCAGCTTGTTGACAAATGCACATGGGATGCAGGAGCAGGAAATGCAAATTTCGGTTTTCCGCACTTGGCGGCTGAGGTGAGCGATAGTGCGATACCTATTGACCCACAACGAAGAACCAACTGCGCCTTTCAGTGACTGGAACTCACTTTGGCGTCTCTGATGCAGATGTGCGATTCGTCGAGCGATTTGTACAAGAAAACGCGAGCCTTGCTGGCAGCAGATCCAAAGCAACGGCCAAGCCTTTTCAGCGCCGGCCAAATCGCAGAACGACCTGTCACGACCCAAGTTGTTGGGCCAGCCATTGATGTCTTGCGCGATGCGCCCGAGCTCATTTCAGAGGTGCGTTGCTTGTGATTTTTTTTCTCTCTTCCACGAATCGTCTGATTTGAACCTACTGGGTGGGTAGGTGGGTGAGCTACTGCAGCAGCTGAACACCGATGGGCGGGGACCAGCGAATATCACAGTGCAACGAGTGGAGCGCGTGCACAACCCCGTGCTGTGGGAGCGCTACAGCGCCAAGCGACGAGAGATGTTGCATCGTATCAAAAGTCAAGTGCACTATGATCAGCTCCAAACGGCCACATTAGATGCACCCTCGGGCTCTCCAGCTCTGCTTCGCGATGCATCCTGTCAAGAGCGTCTGTTGCTCCACGGCATCGCCCCTGACACAATGTTGCGCGACAAGATTGTGCGCCTGGGCCTTGACTATCGCTTTGCGGGTAACAACGTCGGCCACCGATTCGGTCTCGGTGTTTACTTGGCGGACCATCCCGGCAAGGTAGGGCAGCACTGCGCTGGCTATCAATCTCGCCTGTTTACCCAAGTGCTGTGGTGCTGACGCAATGTGCTTACATGATCTCAGAGTCACCGGTACACCAATACTGGACCCAACGGCGAACGGATGCTCGTCATCACGCGAGCCCTGCTGGGTCATGCCTTTGTCCATCCATCACCTCCTTCTGGGGCGCTGGCGCCACCGCTCCTGCCCGCTGCGCCCAACAACGAGCGGTGCGTCGGACAAAATCGCCTGCCTATTGCATGTTGTCTTCAGCAGGGTACCTCTGTCCACCACCTGATCTGACTTGTTGCATTTGCCATTGAATTCTCTTTAGGTATGACTCGGTCGTCGCGACACCCTCTGGGGAATTCCACGAGGTGGTGGTGTTTAAGAATGCCCAAATGTATCCCGAGCTGGTTGTATACTACACGGCCAATTAGGATGAGCTGGACTAGTCGGTGGTCGTTCGCGTCCAATCCGCCGCTTTCCCACGCATATGGACACCCCGTTGCTTTTGCACACAATCAGCGTCATCTACCATGGGTCTTCCCACAGGAGCCCCTATGGAGCTGGTGCGACTTCATTTCCTGACTAACATACGCACCGAGACGAACTGAGGCGTGCCCTTCCTCTAGGGGGCACATGCGTCGACCCCGCGAGCTTTGCAATGTCTTGGCAGACAGTCTTGTCTGATATGCTTGTGTTCACCGTTGTTCGTTGTTGTTTGTTTGTTTGTTGTAACACCTCTTGGTCTGGTCACTGTCAATGCTTGCCGACCGCAGCTGGCTCAATTGACCTCACGACACCTCCAAATTTCTTGTTTCGTCCCGATGGACGTCTCTCAAACCTCTTTTAAAACGCCTCCTCAACACGACCCGCTTCCTTCAAACCCAAAACTGGCCTTTCACATGCTGTGGAGCCTGACAGCTGGCTGTCCCTGAATGAACGGCATACCTTTCCATACATGGATCGGGAGATCAGTATGCTAATCTTCATGTTTTTGCTGCTGGGCAAGCCTCTGGAGCACAGGCTGAGCAGCTGGCTGGAGAAGCGGGGCAGGCTGGCCACGTCCGACGACTATGCTGCATTTCGTCGAAAAACGACCACGTACCTGTATCGGCCAACGCTTGGGGTACGCCGCGACCTTTTGGATGACGGCGGTTGTAATTCATCGACTCTTGGCCGAGACGACCAGCGCTCTTGGCAGCCTAATCCACACTCAAGTTTGGCATTCTGGAGACACGGCCGAGCAAATGACCATGTGCAAACCAAGATGTCACCTCGACTGATGCATCGAGTGGACTCGCATCAATGGCATGCTTTGTTTGGACGAGATGGCAAAGCGCAGTATGGCCGAGTTGACAGCAGCCCGAGAAGCATTGGGAGTTTGCGAAATTCCAACAGTTGGAACCCAGTGACTGACCTCTCGCCCGAGGCGAATCTCATTGTTGTTGTTGTTGTTGACATGTGGTGTTTGTGTGCAGATGTGCGACGCGACGAGCGGTTTGTACAAGGAAACATGGGCCTGCTTGCAACAAATCTCAAGCAGCGCCCAACTCTCTTCAGCGCCGGGCAGAGTGTGCAACGCCCACGTTGTTGGGCCAGCCATTGACGTTTTGTGCGACACGCCCGAGCTCGTGTCAGAGGTGCGTTGCCTGCTGATATCGTCATAATAATACTGTTCTTTTGATCTTGACAAGCCGTGTGGTTTGAATTTATTGTGTGACTAGGTGGCTGAACTACTGCAGCAGCTGATTGCTGACGGGCTAGGACCAGGTAACGCTGCAGGGCAGCGGGTGGCGCGTGTGCAGAACCCCGTGCGGTGGGAGCGCCACAACACCAAGCGACGGGAGATCCTGCACCGCCTCACAAGTTAGGGCACTATAATCGACTTGTCACCACCACCTCGGACGCGTTCTTGGGCAGTCCAGCTTTGCTTCGTGATACACCCTGTCAAGAGCGCTGGCTGCTTCACGCCCGAGCAATCGCTGCGCGATAAGATTGTGCGCTTGGGTCTCGACCATCGCTTTGCTGGTCGCTGCGCGAGCCACCGGTTTTGATTTCGGTGTTTACTTGTTCGATCATTTTTGGCAAGGTGGGGTTAGAAACTGCGACTGGTTTGATCGAAATGGGCTGCTGGTCTGATGCCAGATGCGCTTTTGTGTATGACTTTAGAGAGTCATCGGTACACCAACGGTTGACTCGACGGCAAGCGCATGCTCACTGTCACGCAAGTTCTGTTGGGTCATGCCTAGGTCCATGAAGCACCACCTTGTGGAGCACTGGCCCCACTGCTCTTGCCAGGCGCACCAGACAATGAGCGGTGCGCCGGACAGACACGTTGCATGTTGGTTCTGAGCCGCGAGTACCTCTGGTCGACTTTGGACCTGACACGACGATTGCCTGTGACCTTTTCTACAAACATGACTCGGTGATCGCGACACCGTGTGGCGAATTTCACCAGGTGGCCATCTACGACCATTCACACATCTATTCCGAGCTGGTGGTGTCCTATACACGATCGAATGATGCCAAACTCGAGGCAGTGTGAACATTGGGTTTTGGTGTTGAGATCCTTTCCTCTCTGCTCGCATGATTCGCTTTTGAGCATTTGAACGCGACCGTGGACTGACTGGAGTGATGCGTGAATAATATCGTTCTTGGATGCGCATCATCTCGGCTTCCCGTGCCACAGCCACAAAGTCCGCGGCGCGTTGTGCTCGCTTTACTCTGAGATCACAGAGGCCGAACTGTGCCTCACGATTCATTTCGGCGCCCGGCTTGTGTGGGCGATCATCACATCGCAACCCCTGCACTCTCTGGATCGCGCTTGGCAACTCTGCGACGTAGGCAGGTAAAGGAAGCGTCTGCCTGCCAGTCTAAATACGTTTTTATGCTTGCCAACTGCCAAACCTTCAGACATCGCACTGGCATTGAGGATGCTTCGAAGACGGCTCCATTCACGGCTTTCGGCGCTTAGCACACTGTGCTTTTCTCTTTAACATTGTAAAGAAAAAAAAATCAAAATCCAAATCGACTTGGTTTCAAGGCGACAGGTACGAGCTCAAGTTGAGAGAGGAAGAGAGGAGACGACTGGAACATCCACAGACATCATATCAACATGTTTACGCGAACATCCCCCATACACGTCCAAGGGACAACAAGCTTGGACTGCGGATATGGCGGGTTACTTAGCAAAGAGACACGCCCGTAGCACAAGCGGCACCGCTTGCCACGCGGTAGAGCTGGCCCGAAGCACAAGCGCAGAGCTGAAAGGCGGCTGCCCCTGCATCAGCCGCCAGCACCGGAAGGTTATCCATAACTATTGCGTTCCCCGAGAGGGAGAGCTCGTTGGCAGCCGTCAACGAAATGCTGTCAAAGGCTGACACAGTCACGCTGGCCGTTTGACTGTTGACGGTGACAACGTCTCATATTGATGCCAACGCCCGCGAGTTGCGCCGCACGGTCTGTGTGTGTGTGTGTGTGTGTGTGTGTGTGTGTGTGTGCAAACTCCCTGAGACACACGCAGGCACATAAATTCACCTCTTCTACTGCGCTCTGCCCATCTCTCCCCTAAGTAAGAGAGAGAGAGATTTAGAGAGAGAGATTTAGAGAGAGAGGGATTTAGAGAGAGAGATTTAGAGAGAGAGATTTAGAGAGAGCGAGAGATTGAGAGAGAGAGATTTAGAGAGAGAGATTTAGAGAGAGCGAGAGATTGAGAGAGAGGGATTTAGAGAGAGAGATTTAGAGAGAGAGATTTAGAGAGAGAGGGATTTAGAGAGAGAGATTTAGAGAGAGAGATTTAGAGAGAGCGAGAGATTGAGAGAGAGAGATTTAGAGAGAGAGATTTAGAGAGAGCGAGAGATTGAGAGAGAGGGATTTAGAGAGAGAGATTTAGAGAGAAATTTAGAGATTTAGAGATTTAGAGATTTAGAGGAGATTTAGAGAGAGAGAGAGAGAGAGAGAGAAATTT